TGCTGTGTCGTTTGAAGGATACTGGTCATCGAGTTTTGATCTTTTCCCAAATGGTTATGATGCTGGACATCTTGCAGGAGTATCTTCAATTACGTCGTTTTCCTGCGCAGGTTTCTTTCAAACCGTGTTGTAATGAAGTGACAAAACATTCTGACTTTCAATTTTAGCGTCTTGATGGGTCCATGCGTGCTGACCTCCGTAAACAAGCTCTTGACCATTTTAATGCTGATGGATCAACTGACTTTGCCTTTCTGCTGTCTACTCGCGCCGGCGGTCTGGGCATCAACTTGGCAACTGCCGACACGGTTTGTTAGTTTGGTTGTGCCAATTTCACTTTTTCTGCGCGAAAAATCCACTTATATGTTCATGCAGCTAATCATAAAGTCTGTTAAGCATCATTCAATATATTTAGGTAATTATTTTTGACTCGGACTGGAACCCACAAAATGACCTTCAAGCAATGAGCAGAGCGCACCGGATAGGGCAGACTCGCCAGGTAAACTTCAGCAACTAAACCGCTTTCGACTAAACGTATATTTGTAACTCATGTTTGAAGTGATTTATAGGTGAACATCTACCGCCTCGTGACCCGTAATTCCATGGAAGAAGAAATAGTTGAACGAGCAAAACGCAAACTTGTGTTAGATCACCTTGTTATTCAGAGAATGGACACAACTGGAAGAACTGTAGGTGCCTAAGCTTCTGGAAGATTGCTTTAATAGTTTTATTGTTTCAGGTTCTGAAATCCTCCGGTGGTGCTCGCTCTATCCCGTTTGATAAAAAAGAGCTCAATGATATATTAAAGTTTGGCGCTGCTGATTTGTTCAAAGAAGGTGATGGGGAAGAGCAGGAACCTGAAGTTGATATTGACCGAATTTTAAGTGTAGCAGAGACAAGGGACGCCGACGAAGCTCAAGTAATTTAAGGTTTTTTTAAAGTTGAAATGGAGGAGCGTCGTATATCACCTCTTTCTTGAAGAGTTTCGCAGTGAAAGTTATGAGCTCATAAAAGTCTGAATAATTTTTGAAGAAACATTTAGATGTTTTTAAGAAAACACGTTTTTGACATATTCATTGACTCTAAGTTCCAGCATATTTAGACGCTGTTCCTTTATATACCAAAGAGTATCTTCGTGGAACTTGTAGGAGTACTACTTTTCTTGTAACATGCAGGTGATATGCACGTGATGATAGGGAGATACATCAGCTTGAGCTGCTACACTTCAAGCGCGTATTATATTCACCTGGAAGAATATATTAAGTTGGTCCAAAACTTTTTTTTGTACTTTCGTACCAGAGTGATTGATCACAAAATGTTGTGTGGTGGGAACTATTCAACAAACTAATTTGCGCTTATGCATCTTTCGTTATCCAGTAGATATAATCGCGTAGATGGCTTGGCTAACCACGAAATTCCAGTCGGTGTTTTTTTATTGATGTACAGTTACCCTGAAGAGCAAATAGTATGAGTATCTATCAGAGCAAAAGCTCATTAGTAATTTTTGAGCTCTCTGACACATTAAATCTCCCTCTTCTTTTCATGCCCTTATAAAATTCTTTTTTATTTTAATTTGAGAATTAGCGTTATTCACATTGCAGAAGCACTTAAAGTAGATCTCAGCATTCAATATAGCATCACAACTGTTGCAGTAGTTGTCTTAGAGAAATGATGTTAGGTCAGAATGTGATCCATCTCTTTTATTGGTCTTGCTAGCCCGTAAGGCCGACGCCTCACATTCTCAATCATGTTTAAGCATTTTCTAGAGATAGCAGCTGATGTTTCCAGTACATTCAGTAGCATGTTTTCTGAGCCAGCATGCAAATCAAAAGTGTGGAGCTTGAGTGCACATCTTTGACCCTTGTTCAGAAAGTTTTTTGCTGTTCTATATTATCTTTAAAACCAGCATATGATTACTGGCAGGGTACAAATCCGTTGCGAAGAAGAGAGGTATTCTTTTGAAAAAAAAAAAGCTTTTGGATCAACTAGTAGGACAAGAATGTCTACGAAAGATTAGTATAAACTTTTTCTCGTGGTTGCAATAGTTTTTTTTTGATAAATCTGAAATCTTGTAATATTGCTAGTCGTAAAGGGCTGCGCTTTGTGGATGGCCAAAATGTGTAGCTAAATTTTTAAAATATTTCACAAAAAAATTCTAATATTCTCATGGAAAGCCAGATGTATTTCTTTTTGTTCTTGGTTCGTCGCAGTTTCAACCAATCAGTGTTTGTTTCATTTCCTTTACTTCATATAAGCTAGCTAGCTGAAACGTAAGTCGAGGAATTTTTTAGCAGGTCTTGCAGTTGAGCTTCAATAAGTTGCTTTTACGACTGTTTGTGCTTGAACTTGCAGTTCTGCAATTTGTTTATGTTTCATGCCATTAAGAATAGGTGAAGCATTTGAGTCACATTCTTTTGAAGCAATGAATTATGCTATTTGAGTGAGAGCAATTACCAAACGCGATCACCATCTTAAAAAATCATGATGATTAGTACAAAATCCTTTTTTTTCTTAGGAGAACGGCAATGAGTTGCTCAATTCCTTCAAGTATGCGAACTTCTCCATCAATGAGGAGCAAGACGTGGCTGCTGCGGCCCAACACCAAATTGCCTCTTCGAAAGAGCTAGAAAGTGGTGCAGATTGGGATGAGATTATCCCGGAGGCTGAGAGGATAAAGCTAGAAGAAGAAGAACGGAAGAAGGTAATGAATGTTGTTGTCAAAGAAGAGTGAAAGCTTAAACTTCGCATTAAAGTTAGCAGCAGACCTGGAGTTAGCTCCTCGACAACGCGTGAAAGTTGAAATGGAAGACGCTGATGATGGAGATGCATCTGCGTCAGACGGAGAGGCAGAAGGTGGTGGGCGTAAGAAGAGAAGGAAAGCTTTCGGGGATTTCACAGGAACAGAGGTCAAACGATTTGTGCGTTCTTTTAGAAAATTCGCAAAGCCGCTTGAAAGGTAAAAGTTTTAGTGGTTGTTGCTTTACATCAAAAATTTTGAAGATTCTTAGACTGGAAGCACTAGCGCAAGATGCTGAACTGGAAGAGCACAGTGCTGAAGAATTAAGAAAACTTGCAGAAGCACTTCTGGAAGGATGTGAAAAAGCTGAAGAGGAACACAGGTTGAAGAAAAATGAGGCGAAGGTTTGTAAGCTTTCCTAGCAGTCTCAAAGTTTATTCATGGTCAATTTATCACTTCCTCTATTATTTCTGCATTTATCATCTATTTTAAGGCTGACGGGGAAAAAACGAAGGATCGAGGAGCTTGGTTCAAATTCGCAGGAGTGGTGGATGTGAATGTTCGCCC